ATATATACTCCTAGCAATGCAGCAGTGCATCTTCACACATAAAATCCACATAACTACTTCACTGGGGTCATTAGGTTTTGCCTTGCTGCTGATATCCTCCAGACTCTTGTAGTCACTTCTGGCAAGTCAGTTTTCTGATAGTGACAAAAGGTGTGCTGGCACACACATTTCTAGTCTCCACCGAAATGTTCACGTGACAGGGTGTATTGGAACAAAGGTCTTCATTGCAGGACCACCAGGGTTTTGTTTTTTTTAAAGCTGTATATTTAAAAAGAAAAAAGTAAAATGTCTTTTTAAAATGTACACTATATTGCCAAAAGTATTGGGATACCCCTCCAAAATAATTGGATTCAGGTATTCTGTGAAATTTCCTTGCCACTAAATATTCCTCGGTCAACTGTTCGTGGTATTATAACAAAGTGGAAGCAACTGGGAACAACAGCAACTCAACCACGAAGTGGTGGGCCACGTAAAATGACAGAGCGGGGTCAGTGCATGCTGAAGCGCACAGTGCGCAGAAGTCACCATCTGTCTGGAGAGTCAATAGCTACAGACCTCCAAACTTTGTGTGGCCTTCAGATTGGCACAACAGCAGTGCGTAGAGAGCTTCATGGAATGGGTTTCCATGGCTGAGCAGCTGCATCCAAGTCTTACATCACCAAGTGCAATGCAAAGCGTCGGATACAGTGGTGTAAAGCACGCCGTCACTGGACTCTAGAGATGTGGAGATGTGTTCTCTGGAGTGATGAATCACACGTCTGTGCCTGGCAATCCGATGGACGTGTCTAGGTTTGGCGGTTGCCAGTAGAACGGTACTTGCCTCACTGCATTGTGCCAAGTGTAAAGTTTGGCAGAGGGGGGATTATGGAGTGGGGTTGTTTTTCAGGGGTTGGGCTTAGCCCCTTATGTTTAGTAAAGGGAACTCTTAAGGCATCAGCACACCAAGACATTTTGGACAATTTAATGCTTTTTTGTTCCCAATTTTGTGGGAACAGTTTGGGAATGGCCCCTTCCTGTTCCAACATGACAGCGCACCAGTGCACAAAGCAAGGTCCATAAAGACATGGATGAGCAAGTTTGGGGTGGAGGAACTTGACTGGCCTGCACAGAGTCCTGACCTCAACCCAATAGAACACCTTTGGGATAAATTAGAGCAGAGACTGCGAGCAAGGCCTTCTCATACAACATCAGTACCTGACCTCACAAATGCAAACATTCCCATAGACACACTCCTAAACCTTGTGGACGCCTTCCCAGAAGAGTTGAAGCTGTTATAGCTGCAAAGGGTGGGCCAACTCAATATTGACTGTTAAGGGGTGACAACGTTCTGTCCCTGTCTCCCAATTTTGCTTGTGTCATCCTACTATGTGGGCTTCAAATGTAGTCTAGAAGTGGGCATTTTAACACACATTATATAGTCACAGGCATGGTTTACTTTGGTCATCACCATGAAACCCACCCTAAGAAAAGTCATGTAGCCAAGGCTGAAGTGCATGGATGTAAAATAAACCTCTCTCCCTTCCTCAACCTTTTTACCCCTAAAAAAAAGTTTTTAGGTCTTGAGGAACTCTGTCCCTAAATCAGAGCAATGGTAATAATGCTTCTTACAGTGCTGGTCAGAATGCCACCTTTACAGACTGCTAAAAAGAGCATTGGTGTCACGCTGCCAAGTGGCGTTAGCCCTGAAACCTTTCAAGCACTGTTAAATGGGAGGTCCATCAGCCACAGATCAAGGAGCCCCTAGTAACCTCTAGAACAATTGTTCTCAACCTGTGTATACCTCAGGACCCACATTCGTCCTTGGTCATTAATTTGCGACCCAAGTGTCCAATGTCTGCACTGCAATGGAATGCTCGGCATTAGGATACCGCACGTTCCGGTGCTGTCATATGAACTGTGGGTGGGAGGTGTGTTTAGGGTACCATGCAAATGAATGGCAATGCAACACACCTCCCACACCAGAATGCATGTTAGGTGCGATTGCGTGGTACAGTGCGTTATCCACACGGTGCTATGCAATTAACGCACTGTACTAGTGTGAGCGGGCCCTCAAAAACACTGACATACATACACACTCCAAAAAATATTGAATTTTTTTTTAAGGTCCACCCAGTCACCCTACCTTACAAGAAATGGAGTGGATCCTTATCCTGGGTTCAGTGTGGGCTGCTGTGCTGTGACTGAGCCCCATCCATATATGCATTGTTTGTACAGCTCCTTTGCATGCCCTGTAGAGGTGCCAGGAGCCAAAATGTGATGTCACTCCAGTCCAGGCACCTCTATAGGACACGTGAAGGAGCTGTAAGCAATGCATGCATTTAGGGAGCTCCCTCACGGCCATATCCCCAGCCCAAGCTGACACTCGGCGCCGGGCAGCATATTTTAAATGGCTGCTTGGAACGAGAACTAACAGTGCTGCGCTAGCAGAGATGGCTCCTCAAAATTGGTCCCAACCTATTATATTGAACTTATATCCTACAGGTCTGGTAGATTTGACAGCCATAGACAGAAATGGCGGTCACTTCTCCCGGACCTAGCGGAAGACGATTGGGGAGTCTTTGAAAGTAGTTACATGTCCTCCGTGATAGCCTCTAAGGACAAATGAATACAGATGAAATGATTTTATCAAGTCTACTACACTCCTACCCTTTTACATAGATTGGGCCTCCGACCGACATCACGTTGCTTTAAGTGCTGTGGTCAGGAGGCCGATTTCCTCCATTCCTTTTGGTCCTGCCCACACATACGGGCCTTTTTGGTCTGAGGTTACTTACTTCATGGAGGCTAGCCAAGGTTTCCCCAACATCTGCAATCCTGCGTTCGACCTCTTAGGTCTATTTGGTGAATTGCCACTGGCCTCGAGAGCTCAAGACACTACTCCGCCTGCTTTTATTTTATGCTAGGAAAACTATTCTGCTTGTTTGGGGTAGCCCGAAAGCTCCCTCCCTGAGCGACTGGAAGCGATTGTATAAACTTACATATGAGCAGCGGGGAAACCCGCTGCATTTTGCTCGCATTTGGGATACTTGGCTGTCCTCCTCTAATACAACAGTGGATTTGAGGTGATGTTCTTACTGCATTGTACTCTCTTGGACTATTGGCCCTCTTTTGTATTCCTTGAAGTGTTTTATAACCAATTGATATATCAATGGCTACGTCTATTTTTTCAACCTGTATACTACCTGTGATCTGTGGTTAGTTCCTCCGTTCTGGGCTACGTAAGCTTGTAAACGGTATGATGTATGTAATGTAACACTTACCCTGGGTTATGTTGACCCGGTTGTTGTGTATGTTGATGGTATTGATTGTATTGTATGTCTATGACATTGAAAAGCTCAATAAAAAGCATCTTTAACAAAAAAAAAACAGTGCTGCACTAGGAGTCTGAGGAGCCTCTCACCTAGTGCAGTGGAAGGCAAGTGGCGACCCACTGAACACGGGCTCGCGACCCACTTTTGGGTCACGACCCACCAGTTGAGAACCAAAGCTCTAGAGAAACCCTGGTTGAGAATGGTTTATGTACACTGTAAGGGGCTGCAAAGAGGCAGCATGAGATCAGCAGCATTGAAAAGAATGAAACAAAAAAGGTGAAAATAGTTCTTTCTAAAGATAAAATATGGCAATTGCTTATGATAAACAGTTCTTTAGCAAACTAAATGTCATCCAGTTAAAGTTTATTTCTTACTTTTAATTTTTTATTACTTTATAAAAGAGCTCCAGATTTTTTTTTCAAAATAACCCTTGCAGTGAAGCTACATGGCAAGGGTTAAGTACTTGTTATGGTCTAGGGATAAAAAGAAAGAAAATATACCCACGTGGCTGCTAGACTGGTCCCGCAGTCTCTTCTCATGTGGGCTCCGGTGGTCTAAGGACCCGTGACATCTAATGGACCAGCATTAGAGGACGCCGAGGGGCAAATCACAGCCGGAGTGGAGGGGGGTGAACAGTCACTGCCACATAATTGGTTTGAATTAAGAGCAGCACAGGTATTTACATTCCATTTGACTCACTAGGATTAGTGCTCGCAGCAAGGGGGATTGCATTGGTGCTAGAGAGTTTTTGTTAATTTGAGAAGGATCAGGTAAATATCTTCTTTCGTTCACCTCTGGGCCAAAACAAGCACCTGGCCCTAGCAATGTGGGGGTAGTCCCACTGCAAGGGTTAATTTGAGAGAAAAAAAAAACTGGAGTTCTTCTTTAAAGGAAAATGATGGAACTGTACAGTGGATGTTTAATGAAATAAGGAGAGGTCCCTATTATTAGGGAAGCCACAGCAAACCTAGTTATAATTGATTGCAACATTCATGTTTTGTATAATGAAAACATCCAAGACTGTGGGGATCACACACTCCAAGATCTGACAGCGGTTGACACAATAGAACCCACAATGCTGTGAGAAATGTGCATGCTGAAAACAACAAATCCAGCTCCATTCACCTAGAGAATGAGCAGCTCAGCCCTCCCACCCTATTCTCCCAGGAAGTGACGCCTGGCCTAACAAGCCATGGAGCCCGGAATTGTAAGCAAAAGGTGATTAGCTGAGAGCTCCTAACAGTGCACCTTGACAGAGCTGGTAAACAAAGAATCAGCCTCGTCACATAAAGAAAACAACTTTAGATCAGTGTAAATAAACACATACACCAGTTGCCCAAACAAAGGAAAGAGCAAAAACTGCCTGCAGCTAGAAAATGTAAATATTTATATAGATAACACAAATCTAAAGTCTTTATGTGCAGTCCCTCATGTAGCCTTCATTTGCATATATTTGGCGTGTGGATTATATGCAAAGACTAAAACAAAAAAATAAAAAGATTTTTTATATGTGGAAAAAAAAAAAAGATTTTTTATATCTGAGAGGAAGCGATAAACTCTAATTTCTGCGTGCACTCATTGGGATAAGATGGTTAGTGCCCTCTACATCGTATAGTACACACACACATATTTATATTAAAATATATCAAATAAAAACTATAATTCTTTTCTTCTATATAAATTTCTTACCAGCCAGCCCCCCTCCTCCTTTGGTCCCATGCCCCTTCCTCCTTTGCAGTATGAAATAAGGATTGGCCCTCTCTGTGATCCACAGGGCGTTTGCCAACAGCACTTCTTCTGGATGAACCCACATGGTCAGGGACAGACAGGTCAGAGCTCCAGATCTCCTGTGTTGTGATCCCTGGGAGAAATCCACATAGCAGAGAGGAAGAAGCAGCAGTGTCACAGCAGTGGATGGAGTTCAGAAATCAGAGGCTGCATCCCATCTGACCCCAAACAATGAAAAAGGTCTTCCCGAGTCCAGGCTTAGCACACCAGGGAGGGGAGAGGAGGAGGTCCAGACACCTCTATCAGCAGATAAACAGGCTCATCCCAGGACAAGATGGAACCAGATGACTGGCTTGGCATCAGCAGATTTTCCTGCTATGGATGGTCTCACATAATGAATGACAGCAGTGACATCCGAAATGTCAAGATCATGACAGCTATGGTAGAGATCAGTAGGAGCTGGCATTTAATCCATTATTGTGGGCACCATCAGTGCAGGGATGGACGGGGTGCTCTGTCCATGGTACCACCGCCAGGATAACAATGCAGCCTCATTAGCCCCTGCAAATGAGATCGCAGAAGCAGCAGCTCGGGGATCATGATGACAGAGGTCTGCACGAATGAAAGGGGAGGAGAGAGGAGAGAAGAGGGAGGCAGAGCTGAGCTGAGACCAATTACATCAGCATGTGAACAACAAGGGACTGACAGGCTGGAGGCAAACAACACAGCAATCATATCCAGGAGCTATGCATGCTATACTACACCTGAACACTCATTCACATTTCTTACACAGCTCTGCCACAACTGGATCAATCATAGGAATGTGACAGGACAAGCTAAAACCTGAATGATGGCTGTGACATGACACAGAATAGCACTAATAGGTTATTTTTATTTTTGGTTGCGGTGCAGTATAAAATGTTGACTAACAAACCTTGTAAATGTCTATACACAAAGCACAAAAATGGGTCCAATATCTGTGCATCTACAATGCTAAAAGATATAATAAAAATATATCATCAAGAAGAGATCTAGGGACAGCAAAATCCTAAAGATCACTTTTTATTATGTCTAGCTCTCGGTGTGCAGTTTTCAAATACATTTTGGTATGTCATCCCTTTTTATTTATTTTAAGAGCCTACCAGAGTTGTGAACAGCATAAGGGAAATGCACTGAAAATGCTGCATTATTGTAGCAGAAAATATGAGGACACAAAATGATGAATAAGGACTCATTCACACTATATGCAGTGACTGGTGTTTTCCAAGAACTGAACAATGCCAGTCGCTGGTAGGGTACATAGAAACAATTTCTTCAGGTGTGATGTGCAGTATGCTGCAAAATAAAGCAAACATTCTGCATGATTTCACAGCACACTGTATTGCTGTGCAGAGACCTGTATGAAGTTTACACTTTGCACACATCACATAAAAGCTAAAAAATGCCAGATATGTCAAACCACACTAACCCACCTGCTAAAATAGGGCATTTTAGCTGGGAGGCTAGTGTGAACGAGCCCTAAGGGAAATAGCCATGGCTGGTCCTCTTACTCGCCTGGTTATTGGAGCAGTTGCCCATCATGCACTCCTGTCCTTATACTATAGCACAATGACATTTACATATTAAGGGAAAATGGTCATTCATATTTTTACTTACAGTGTGTTCAATAAATTGGATAGGAGGGTCTAGAAAGCTCAATATCTGTCGACTTATTTTATATAGGGAGCCTCAAGTGCGGCCCCTGACATCACCAAAGGGTCACACAATATTTATAGTTCATAATCATAATAATAAGATTGTATACATAAGACTGCTAGAGATCACTTCACTTACAGACCCTTTATTTATCAATGCTTCCACATTTGGGCTCCAACTTTAAAATGCTATGATACATACGGTTTGCAGGAGATCTGAGGGCCACTTAATTAGTGCCATAGGGCCACATGCAGCCCCCGGTCCTCATGCTGGGCCAGGGGGGTCTAAATTTTATGTATTCAAAAATACAGAAAAAAAATTATAGTGTAAAACTATATATTAGTAACTCCAATGGGTAGTAAATAAGAAAAAGAATAACATTATGATGTAGATGTGCATGTTATTCAATAGTGGCTGATTTATGATGTTTACAATGGCATATTGAAGTCAGCTACTGGCCTCACATATCATTGCCAGCTGTGAATATACTGTAACAAAATCATGGAGAGGGAAAACGATGTAACAGGAAAGAGTTTACTACTTGTTTCAAAGTAAAACAATTATCACAGGCAGATAAAAAAAAGTTTTAATTAATTAGTTGGTATGAGTCTGAGCCTATTCTTCCATCAGGCAGTCTATAAAGCAGCCTTTTCAGCCTGGGTTCCTCCAGAGGATGCTAGGGGCTGCTTGAGCAATATGTGCCTCTCAGACAAGCTACCACTGACACCAGTGATCTTTTCAGCTATCTGTAATGGTGGTATCCATCCCACTGTCCACCAGTGTAAGCAGCATTCTTCCCACTGTCCACCAGTGTAAGCAGCATTCTTCCCACTGTCCACCAGTGTAAGCAGCATTCTTCCCACTGACCAGCAATGCAAGCAGCTGTCATAGACTCACCTGGCGTGTTCCCTCGTTCCAGCGGCGCTCAGTTTCTGTTGTGACGTCACACCGAGGCTCCTCCCACGGGGCGTGGCCCTGCCGTTAAAGCACAGGTGAGTCGATCACTTGTCTCGTTGTGGAGAGTGAAGTGACGACCGCCGAGCCTCACCCACCACAGACTGAACCTCTGTCTCTGATAACACTGTAGAGACAAATCATATCAGAGGAGACCGACTTGACCCTAGCCTGGAGAGTTGCCTATAGCTGTCTGCCTGCAATCCAAGGACCCTCGTATCCGCTCTGGCCATAGAGACATCTAAGCGCAAGTACCCGTGGGCCAAAGTTCAATAACCATCGCTGCTGTTGCAGCCTGTCATACATGAAATTGATTGTTCCTTGGCAGCAGTTGCATCCTGTAAATATAAACGGTCATTAGTATTTAAAGGGAACCACACCATTAATGATTGCAGACTGCTCATAGTCATACGTTTCGAGTTAGAACCGAACACGGGGGTGTTCGGCTCATCACTACTGACCAGCAATGCAAGGAGCATTCTTCCCACTGACCAGCAATGCAAGCAGCATTCTTCCCACTGACCAGCAATGCAAGGAGCATTCTTCTCACTGACCAGCAATGCAAGCAGCATTCTTCCCACTGACCAGCAATGTAAGGAGCATTCTTCCAACTGACCAGCAATGTAAGGACCATTCTTCCAACTGACCAGCAATGTAAGGAACATTCTTTCACTATGCATGCCTGTCATTGTTACCATGGGCCTGAATGCGTGGTTATCACTGACAGAAAGGAACAGGAAAGGACCAGTTATTTATACTTGGTAATCCATTGAAAAACATACATTTGGGAGCTTTACGTGCGGTTGGAAGCTCATTAAGGATTACATATACTTTAATCAACTGACCAGCAATGCGAGGGGACACATTTCATTTCTGGCCATTATCATTATTCCTTTCATTAATATTACTGAAAATAATATTGTTGTATGCAGCCCTGGGATTTATATATACCTAATATGCCACATTTGTTAATATTCTGTTATTATATCTACAACTTACTGTTTATACTAATGTCACATGAGCTGCAGATTTAAAAATAACTATCTGGGCTTCCATACAACATAAACATTGTTTCAAGGGTTCCTCCATTTTAAAAAGGAGGAGAAAGACTGCAATAGAGACATAGTTGCCCTATAGAGGGTGACAATGAGCTGCTCTAAGATCAGATCAGCAAGCCTGCAACTTGTACGCCTCTTCATCACTCCTCTGCAACAGATGAACCTTCAGTTTGCCAATGCTGTGTGCTTGCAGCAATGGGAATTGGGGGCTCTCTGTTTTTGATTTGTATCTGATAAACACAGAGGAGGCATCAAGGAGCTCTCAATAAAAAAAGAAAGAAGGTACTACCCAAGTAAACATTTTTGTTTCACTTTTCTGCCAGGAAAAATATTGGTATGATCCTGTCATGAATTCACTCGACAATGGATACTGGCATGTACAAGTGGTAATGGTGGGGTTCAGGTTAAAGGTGCCCATACACTGTACGATTCTCGTACGAGAATCGCGGGAAATCCCGCGATCGTACGAGAATCGCACAGTGTATTATCGGAAGCCCGCCCCTCAGCGGGGCGGGCTTTCAATGATCGCAAGTACGATTTGCCCGTCCAAGATGGGCAGATCGTACGAGCTTTCAATGAGCTTACGACCATCGCAAGACAAAGGTCTTGCGATGGTCGTAAGGTGTATGGGCACCTTCAGAGTTAGGGAGTTAGGCGTGGTAAGGGGTTAAATCGGGACTAGGGTTAATTTGTGGGAATTCTGGCCACTGCAGGATACTTGATTGGACAAGCCTGTCTCTATTTGATCTTTCTATAGTAAACCATGATTTCCATGACCAATCATTACCCTGCTTTTTGTCATCAACTTTGTTTTGTTTATTGCAGATTATTCATATATAATTTACTATTTCATAAACATGCCTGACTAAGCAGACTAATTAACTATAAATGCTTTTACATCATCTGCATCTTGTGTTTTTTTTTGAGTAAACACTTGAATCAAGAACCTTTTATAAGACATGTACTTAAAATTCCATGACAATATTCAGTGTATAGAGAATAATAATAACGTGCATTGTTGACATTCTGATTATTGCAGTCAGGGTTATAAATTGTGGCATTTCCACGGCTGGAGTTTCTGGATTGAAATCACTTTAGAGTGGAATCATGCTAATATTTTAAACCCTGTAACAAATGGACAGATTATCCAGGTAAATGGTTGGCCAAATTGTATTTAATGTTTGATCAAAGGCCACAAGTTCAGCACTGTATATATCAACAAAGGCCTCAATATTTTCAGTAGAAAATAAGGTGTTAAAATCCAGTTTGGGCACCTGTGAGCTGCATCACCCACAGTATATCTCTTGAAGGTTCCAGTAGAAGGATTCTTTGCAGAAATATGTGTCTCTGTCCCTTTTTACAAAGCTATAGTGAAGGTTTCACTTTCTTGCAGCTGGACCAACCAATAAATTGTCTTTTCAGCATCATGTAGATCAGCAATGGTCAAGTTACTAGATATGGGGTGGCCTCACCTGTGACCCTAATATCCCTAGGGAGGCGCACAAAATATTCAGTATAAAGTAGTACTACAGAAGATTGTCAGAGACATCTAACATACCACTGGAGATGGTCAGAGACTTGATGCAGACTTGGGAGATGATACAGATATAGTTTGAGAGAGGTTTCAGGAGACCGGTAAAGACCGGGGAAATATTACACAAGATTGCTAGAAATCATCATAACAATTGTAGCACTTTTACAGATCAGTGCACCCACTACTAGCTGCTAGGG